AGGTCTGAGGTGGGCTTGAATTTTCAATCATGTCATGTGTGCAAGGTACCGTGTGATGAGTGGTGGAAGGTGCAGGAGATGGCGGAGAAAATTCTTGTGCTTTTGTATTCTAGTTATATATATTTTGATTATTGGTCATTGTTACTTGTAATGGAATATTCAGCAAATGTCTACAAAAAAATTATGTCATTTTCATTTTCTCCTATACATTAAATATTTTTTACTTTTCATATTATATCCCGGAAATTTCCCCGCTTGCTGCTGCGCTTTGGAAGCTACGAAACCATCTTTGTCAATTTCTCTTCTATGTTTGGTGGGAATTAAATACTTGAATCAATCATTGCTATAATCCCTCCCTCTCTCTCATCCTTCCTTTATTTATTTGACATGGAATTTTCATATTTCTCGCATCAAACCGTAAAAACACAAAATAAATTAAGATAACACACGACACGATGCAGAAATGATGCAAAAGGTCTGGGCTGGGCTGGGCTGGGCTGGGCTGGATAAATCCAGAAGGTGTCTCTGTCAGCTGCATGTGGATGCTTGACTTGTGAGGAATTTGGGTGCCTGGAAATGAATGGGGGTCGGGTCATGTAAAGGGAAAGCCAAGTAAATTCCACACCAGTCAAATATGCAAAGGACTGATAGTGTTGTTGACTTTTGAGCATTCAAATCAAATTTGGAACCATCTATCAAACCAAGCACGTACGTAGTCAACACGTCCAAGCTGCTGTCGTTTGTGTCAAGTCTCTACCTAGTTCGTGTTTTTGTGTGTAGCTTTATAACAATCTAGAAACATAAAGGAAATTACGCACATTTTACTTTTCTTGTTCTTAATACTTGTTTTTCTCCTTTGATTACTTTCTTTTGACAAAATGCAAAAAATGTACGAAGAATATACGTACTTTGATGCAAACTAAATCAAAGAATACATTTCTTACTTCATATTGCAGTCATTGGTGCACTATTCAATCACTGCACGACTGTTTCAATCCGCAACCAACATTGAACTTTTTCAGTAACTTGAAGTCTAGAGAACCGGACTTTAATACGGTTCGAATGTTCGAATTAGAGAAAAACTATGTATATATATATATATATATGACTCAATTCGTAACCATGTATGGACCCCATCTCTTAAGCCAAGTTATGGATCTGAAAACTAATATAGTTCCTTTTTTTTTTGGTCGAAACTAATATAGTTCCTTTTAGCTTTAATATTTTGCTACTTTATTTACTTTCTTATCAATATCCAATTTTTATTTTTTCCAAAAAATATGTCCACAAAATTTTGAATTGAAGTTTAGAGACATGGAAACTGAAGCGGGTCAAGTGGCCCAATATTCAGCGTCAAGGCCCATCCATCCACATAAAGAAATCCATGGGGCCCATAGAAAACAGAACCCAAGTTTACCCAGTCAAGTCATCCAGGCGCGCCGTACGCACCGCGCGTCGTATAGAAAACATCAAAATCCTCCAACAGCCTATACCTATCGATTTCGTAAAATCACCGATTTACGATTTTGCCTTGATAATTCTCTGCAAAAACTCAGGTATTTATTTAAAATTAAATCGCAAATTGTTTCATGAATTAATTTTTGAGTTTCCGTTGGAATCGCTGAGAAACTTGTGTAGAAGAAACAAATGCTCACTCAGAGATTCGAATTGCACTTAAATTGAATTGAAGCCCTTCTCTTATTGCGTTTTGACAAAGTTTAGGTTTTTGATGTTTGCTTGCTGTAATTGGGAGTTGTTTCAGTGGTTTGAACGATTTCTGCGGCCGATCAATGAAAGGAGAAGTGCAGCTAGAGCCAGCAGGTGAAAGGGAACGAGACCCTACTGACGTGGACCCTCTGCTAGAGGACCAGGAAGATTCGTCACCTGGAAGCTCGACTGAGATTTACAATGAAGACCTCGAGTCTGGCTCCATTCCCTGTTGTCGCATTTGTCTTGAAAGCGATGCTGAACCAGGTCAATCTCGCGTAAAGACATTAAGCTTAATTTGATTTTTCTTTTCTTCATGAATATTGTTTATTGTTTTGTGGTTTAAATTGTTGTGTTTTAATCATACTTGGGAACTTGGAAAGACTGTATCTTGTGTAGTGTTAGTCTATGTTTGTAGGTTGCAGTAATTTAGTACATTTGGGAAAACTGTAATCTTCATATGTCCCGGGGTGGATTCCGAGTTTTTTATATATTTTTAAATGTATGTCATGATGCACTCATTGCTGCCTAGGGATACTTGTTGGCCTGATTACTTTTGTTTAACTTTTCAGGGGATGAATTGATTTCACCTTGCATGTGTAAAGGCACCCAGCAGTTTGTTCATAGCTCCTGTCTTGACCACTGGCGCTCTGTTAAGGTAAATAACCTCTTCTTTTTTTCCTTACAGTGAGGAAATTGCCTTTCCCTTTTTCTTAAAGTGAGCAGTTTATTTTATTATTTACTGAATTTCCCTCTGCTTTTTCTAGGAGGGATTTGCTTTCTCACACTGCACAACTTGCAAAGCCCAATTTCACCTTCGAGTTGAATCATATGAGGACAATTCTTGGCGTAAAATAAAATTCAGAGTTTTTGTGGCAAGGGATGTTTTCCTCGTATTTTTAGCTGTACAATCAGTAAGCAATTGTCCTTTGGATTATGTTCCATAAAAGGGTTCCTACACAATGTCATTCTTTAATTAATTAAGCAGTTATGTTCTCGTTTCTGGCATAATGGCATTTATTTACTTTCTTTTTCTGTTTTAATTCTTGTGGTATACTTTTTTCTTGAAAGGCAATAATAACCCTCTGCCTGTCTCTGATTAACTTTTATCCAGGTAATTGCTGCAATTGGTGGCTTTGCATATGTCATGGACAAAGATGGTGCCTTCAGGAATTCATTTAGTGATGGTTGGGATCGTATCTTGTCAAAACATCCTATACCATTTTATTATTGTATAGGTAAACTCTTTACACCTTAAAATGTTATTTCAAAAACTTATGTAGTTCAGAGTTTCTTCTGACTCTGGTGCTCACATTTCAAAAGTATCTGACTAACAATTCGGTTGAAGCAAGTTTTGGATCAATTCTATTATAATGCTCATATCTAATAACAAACATGAGACAGTTTACTGGGTTGAGAAATTGTTGCTACTTAATGTTTGGCATCGAATATGTCAGAATGGTAGATCTTAGGGAAATTTTTAGTTTCTGATAGAATAAAGACAGTTGTGCTATTTTCTTTGCCATTTCTCGTTCAGTAAGCATAAAAGTCTTTTGTCGTTTGAAGTAATATTTTGGACATTTCTAAGAAAATCAATGACAGATGTGTGCCGAAGAGATTAAGTAATTTCGGTTCATCAATCTTTGTGCTGTTTCTACCTAATGTGTATGGCATACCCCCTCATGAACATGGGAAGAATACTCCCCCATTCCCCCCGTTTTGGCCTTGCCTTCTTCATAATAGTAGAAACTGTGAAAGCTAATTGTCAGTTATGTTAGTAATCAGTAAATTTGTTACAGGCTGTGCTTTGATTTTGCTTTCTGTTAATGTCTTTTGTTGATATGGAAAATCTGGTCGTATCGTCTTGTTTGGTATAACAGTGTCAAGGCTTTCTACTTCTACCGTTTTTTATATGAGAAGGAATATAGAAACAAATAAATATTGCACTTGTTATCAATCTCTTACATCTATGGCCTCGTATTAAAAACATTGCTACTTTTGCCACTGTGCACTTGTAAATACCAGGGGTACTGGCCTTTTTTGTGCTGCTTGGATTTTTTGGGCTTATACTACACTGTTCATCCCTCAATAGCAATGACCCAAGAATGGCTGGCTGCCAGAATTGTTGTTATGGTTGGGGAATCTTGGATTGTTTCCCCGCATCTATGGAGGCTTGCTTTGCCTTAGTTATCGTTTTTGTTGTCATATTTGCCATACTTGGCATAGCTTATGGTTTCCTTGCTGCTACCATGGCTATTCAGAGGATCTGGCAGAGACATTATCACATCCTGACCAAGAGGGAACTCACAAAGGTTAGTCTTAGACGTTCTTCTCCTGTGCAGGTCTGGATACTTATAATCTCTCAACTTTTGACTGTTTAGATATTGCATCGTTCAGAAGTCCAAGAGTGCTTATCTTTTCAAAATTTTGCAGGAGTACATAGTGGAGGATCTTCATGGATGTTATACCCCACCAAAATTGGATCCAGAACATGAAGCACGTCTGAAAATGCTCAAGTTGTTGTAGTGATGGATGAGGAGGTAAAATAAATTTATCAGGTAATGAAATCGTCGATGTGTATTTGCTTGACGTTAAAGGAGCAGAGAAGGAAAATATTTTAGTCTCATTCTTCCTTGAATTCACCAAAATGTGACCACCTGTGCAGTAGTTTTATACTCTCAAGTCTCTTATGATTTTGCTCTGCTCTGGTATTGTACGAGTTTGGATATTCTTGGACTTGTCTCCTCCCGAGTCCCATGAAGCCTGCGTGTATTTGTCTTCCATGAAGTGGATTTTAGGCTGGTGTTGTATGCTTTACCTCAATGCTGCCATCTGTTCTCCACCCTCGGCCACTCTTTGGGGTTGGTAGGATTATAGGATAATTAATACATAACCCAAATTATTATTATCTTCTTCGTCAAAAGTTACCGATCTTGATCGCAAGGTAGCGTCCTGTCATCAACCAAAGTATAAAAAATCTGCCATGGCTCCTTCCTTTGAACTGGAGCTGTGCTTGCATAAACTGCAGTGAAAATCCAGCGATTCAACTATTCACCACAAAAATCAAATTCGAAAGTCTCATTTGAATCAAGAAGATATAAATTTGGGATTAATCAATTTTTACAAACCCATTGATTAATTATTGTTGAATGCATACTCAAAAGTTTACAATTTATAGACATTTTGTTTTCCTACATTAGAGCCTTTAGTGACTGAATCCAGAAACATGTAGAGCCCTACACTTGTTGTCACATTGATTTGCCTCCAAAAAATAAAAAAAAATGGAGAAAATGTGACCCAAAATACAAAGGTTAGCCACGGCCTTCTTTTTTTAATCCATCTCAAAACCCAACATGTTAATCTCCTTGAATTGGAGAATTCTGGGTCTCAGGTTCTTGTTGTGATTCACCAACGCTTACAAAAATAAGATGATCACCATCTCTAACTACATCTATGTCATCAATTTCAGCTCCTTCTTTGGTTACGACCTTAGCCGGTGAGAAGCCAAATTTCTTTGCACCAAGCTCAAGCAACTCCTCATAACTCACCGGAAGCAGCACAAGCTTCCCTTTAACTTCACCCTTTTCAGGGCAACTAATTGTCACCCTAGCAGGGTCACTTCCATAGTTTTTACTCTTTGGACTTCTCGTCCCCTTCACCGCGAAAAACAAGTCTTTCTCGCCGGTGTGGGCAGCTGACATCATGCCAAAGAGTGAGTTGTGGAAGTTATTAGTCCTGCGCCGTGGCCGGTTTCGTCCCCAAGGTCCTCCGTCTGCTCCTGCAAATGAGCCGTCCTGGGACGGAGGGTGGATGTTTGGCTCGCTTGTAAACCTTCCAATGAAACGGGTTCCATTCTGCTGGTGCTCGGGAGTGGTAACAGAAAGAAATTTGGATATTTCTTTCCTCGAGTGGAAAAGGTTCTTTATGTCTTCATGTCCCTGTTGGTCTGCCAGAGCTCTTGGTGTCCAGCCATTGAGGTCTGGTTTGTCAATGTCAGCCCCTTGGTCCAACAGGAACTTGACGACTTCAACGTTGTCTTCTGACACTGCAGCATGGAGAGCTGTGGTTCCATTGGCTTTAGGTCGTGTGACATCACCTCCATGTCCAACGATTTCCTTGAGCAAGTCCACCCTGTTTTGCTCGGCGGCAGAGCAAGCAAATTGACCCACGTCCCCAGAGTTGAAATCTGCACCATTGTCTTGCAGCAGCTTGGCAATTGGTTCATGACCATTCTGAATTGCCTCCCAAAGTGGCGAATTCCCATCTGTGTCTGCCAAAGTATGAAACAAAGTCAAGTTATTGTTGAACCATTTACCCTTATTCTGCGAATTGATGTGGACTATAGGGGCGTGGGGGTCCACAATAAAGAATATGACCGACCCTATGAAATGGTTATGATTATCCAATAATGGAAACAGGACGTATACACGCATGCGCACCAGAAGATTCAATTGCAAATAGCTTCATTAAGTCAACAGAAACGAACCATTCTTGAAATAAGATAAGGCCATTCGCATTGACTTCCTTGACACTGAATAATTCAACATATTTGCATGTGTTCAATAAAATAGAGGAACGAGACACCGACATTTTCATATTATATCATGTTAAAAAGGATGAGGATAAGATGAACAGATGCTCTCAAATGGGGTTAGTATTGTATTAGTAATAATAAACTTAAAAATTTGTCAAATAGCAAGATGTTGTTTTGGATCAGATTATGAAGTCAACCCTTTTTTTTTATTACATACATATAAAAAAAAGACAAAAAAAGAAGATAAGAAATGGAGCAAATAATTTTATCAAGTAGTTTAACAAGGGGAAAGTCAACAAGCATAATATTCTATCTTGCCATTAAGGGAATGGAAAACTAAAGTTTTAGATATGACAATTCAACGACATCAGGTGAGGTGAGGCCATTTCTCCATGGTCAAACATGTAGGTGGAAAACTGCAGTATTACTAAATTACAGTTCAGTTGACTAAAAAGACCATGCGAGCAATAAAAGTCAATACATTGGTACCTTTACTGTTAGGATCTGCCCCAAAGTCCAGTAGAAGAAGCACGCAGTTCTCACTTCCTTTGGCTGATGCTATATGCTGGTTTTTCAAACAACAAAAGGGGAAATGTAAAATGTTAGCATCATTATATCCAGAGTTTAATGCATTACAAAAACATATAAAAAAATGTAAAATCAGGAACACAGGATTTCACAAACCAGAGCTGTCCTCCCATTGTTGTCTGATTCATTTGGATCGAGACCCCGTCTCAACAACTGATGCAACAGCAAGTCATCTCCTCTGCTTGCTGCAAAGCATAGACTGAGAGGTAGGTCCATTCTACCACGAGCTAGCATGTTCTCTGTCTCCAACAGAACTCCCTCCATTATTGGGTCCTTTTGGTCTTTCAAGTGCTGCCCCACCGAGAAAGAAACGCCAATAACATGTCAAAATTCTTCATCACTAGAAACCAAAGAAATTTTTTCAACTTATGGATCAGATATAGCAAGGTTATACCAAACTAACTCACCTGGAGGAGATTATTCATAATTACAGTTCCATCTCCAACATTAGCTTGAACGATATTTAAGAAAGCAGTACGGTTCAGCCTTAGTAGCTGACTCAATCTTTTGGTCCTAACTGTAAAGAGCTGTGGCCTATAACAGAGCACCCCAATCTCACCAATAAGATCACCAGCTTTTACCTCACCAATGACCTGCAATTGTTTAGGATAATGTTGCTTAAAATCTTATTTATCACAGCCACCAAGGTCAATGGACCTAAAAAACGCGAAAGATGTCCATTCTATTCAAGTGTTAGACTTGCCTGTTCAACTCCGTTTTTGAGAACCACTAAATCCTGTTAAGTAATTCAAACATAAGAGTAGATTATTCAGAAGATAAACTCAAACAAAGAGTATAGAAAATTGATAATTCCCTTGAAACTTGACGAAAAAGAAAGGTGAAATTATTACCGCAACACCAGTGACAAGTACGTAGAAATCAGTGGGTGCTTCATTCTGCAAGATTATATCTTCTTTGGGAGGAAAATACTCGGCTTTCATCTCTGACACCTTTGAATTCAGAAGAAGAAGAAAAAAATCAATCAAACATCTATCTACTACATAGCGATACTTCAAACAATGTGGACAGGTCCACTGGAGAAAGAAGCATTTAATTGAAAATTTTGAGATTGGTTTGAACTTACCAACTGAAAAAGCAAGTCATTTGAAACCCCATGAAACAAGTACACTTTATCGACAAGAGAGTAAAAAAGATAATGTGAAATACTTGAGCGGATGGCTTTAGGAAGGGCATCAAGAGTCTCTTGTTGCTGCAGTCCTTCTGAGTCTGTTCTGAACTTCAGACACAAGTGTGCAAGCATCTGATCCTGCAGGCGGCCAGGCAGTTGGTTCCTCTGCGCAAAACTGGAGGCAGCTTGTATGGTATCCCTCTGTAAAATAGAAGCGACATAAAATAAGATTTTCACATTTCGTGAATTTTATTGCACTTAGCGACTAGGGATTTACTCACAAATTTTCTAGTTCGACTGGTCCCATGGACAACCAAGTTGGTCATATTTCCAATTAAGTATGATGTCAATCCCAGGTTGAAGAGCATGTAGACTATGTCAAAGATCATCTCCCTTGTATTCACCGGATGCAGATCTCCATATCCAACTGTTGTTAGTGTAGTGATAGACCAATAAACTGAAGTTACATATCGAATCCACATGTTTTCTTCTAGGATTTCTACTCCCATCCACGTTTTCTGGGGGTCACGATAACGTGCAGCTAAAAGATAATAGAAGCATCCAGCACAGTGAATGGCAAAAAGAGTGACCTACAAAAGAGCATCCAAATCCCCATAAGATGGTGGTGCAATGTAAGAAAATGCATTTTTGTTCATGTAAATAATCGCAGAACCATCAAAGTTACTTACACAAATAAGTTTTGCACACCGAACCCAAAAGTAGTTATAGTTCCTATCTTTCTCCAATCTGTTCAGGCAAGAATAATGGGAAAGTTAATACAAAGGAAAACTTCTTCTTGAGATATTCATTTTCGAAATCAAACAACTGAAGGAAAAAGCTACTCCAAGTTTCTAATCATATGCTGTCTGTAGTTAGAACTTGGAAGCTACTTGTATGAAGAAAATCCCATACCTGGAAAATAGTGCACTAACTCTTCGTAGACGCCAAAGACGAAGCATGTTGAAAACGCCATAAGATTGCACAGATTTTGGAAAGATCTTTGTAGCAAGTTCAGACGGGATTGTGGATATGACATCAAAGAGAAACCAGGATCTTGCATACTTCCAACCAATCCTTTTGTGATCATCAACAAGTAGATATGTAGACTTATCCAGGTAAGCCACAAAGAATGTAAGAACAATATCCACAGCAAAGAAACCATTGACAACATTATCTACAATGGAGAGCGGTCCCCCTGGTCCCTTAAGGAAACCAAATTCAAACGGCGACACCCAAGCAGTATAGATGACCAGAACAACAAGATATGTTTCCCATCCCCTGCAAAAACCAATTCAGTCAGATAAATTTAGCAAAAAGATATTTCTTTTTCTCACAGAAACTGATATTGTGCACGATAACCTGGTAGTTACGCATCAAACACATCAAACCGAATCAGCTTGTAAGAGAATTCCAAGAAATATTAGCCAAATCAAGATTACAAAAATATAGTCATTCCAATATAAAACATAGGACGTCTTGGTTGAGTGATTGGCATTCAAGACTTTTCCTTTTCCATCTGATTCAAAACATGTCAAAAATTAACAAATGAAAACGCAAGATTGTTTTCTATACAAGTCAAATAGGATGTTTTCCAGGCCTCCTATTCGGTACTACTCGTCTGATTGAAAAAGTTTATTTCTTTTAACTAAAAAAAAAGTCTCAATTGAAATGTTTCAGTTTAGAATATTAATCCAAACTCGGCCAAATTCATGTGAAGAAAAGTCAAGCCCTTCAGAGCAGGAAACGTATATACTAGCATAGAATCAGCCCAGATTTCTTTTGACAAAAAAATTTGATACTTTTGGCCCCTAGAATTGTAACAGTGAAATTCTTTTAACAACAACCACTTTATCATAACCATTCAAACATCACAGACCCACAACCACTTTATTAGAAGCGTAAAATCAAACCTACTTTAAAGAAATAAAATAATAAACTGAAAGAAAAAAACAAAACCTTTTGATCACTGAAAAGGCACTTCAAATTCAATTTCGTCTTTTCTAAATCCACAAAAGATGGAAGAGATGAATAAACAAGAAAGCAAAGAAAAGAGAACCAAATAACACTCTAAAAAAAAAAGACTCGTATGCATTCACCGATGCAAAAATCCCAGTGGGGACTAAATACAAACGAAACAACCACAAAAGAAGAACAAAGCAGTAGTTGTTGTAACGCGTCGAGATTCAATGCCGTTCTTTTCCAAACACATATACCCAGAAGAAAAGGTAACATAAAAATAACCAAGCAAACAGTTTAGTCAATGCAACCAACAACTACACAATTAAAAATCAAAAGCATTTACAGAAAGAAACAAAGACAACCCAAGAACCAAAAGAGAGGAAAAGGAGGAACCTATAGCGGCGGTCATAAGGTGACACAATAAAGCGGCTGAGCTTGACTCTCCGGTTGCTAGACCTTGCACCAAGCGAAGGCAATATCCCTGTAGAGAGACTGTATTGGCTGCCATCTCTTGAGAGCTCAAGCTGTTCTTCACCACACATTGGGACACTAAACACGCTTCTGGTTTTTCTGTTCTCCATTGTTAATCAGAAAATTCAGAGAGACGTCACAGCAGCAGCAAGGGGCGTTGGCTATTGGTTTTGTGTTTCCAAGCTTTGGTCCTTACTCGGTGTGATTTCAAGGTGCTATAAATAAGGAGACTGGTCTGCTTAGACTCCCTGTGGATTTGTAATATTTTATTTTACGGGGTCTTGGCTATTGCGCCTTCATACGGTCACGACTCACGTCCGTTTGCTTCTTCTCTGCACTCTCTCTCCCTCTCTCTGTGTTTCTCTCTGCCCTGTCCCATCTTTACCATACACTTATACAGAAGAATTTGTTTTGACCCTTTTGACCCTGTATGACAGAATTTATTAACCGCGGGGTTGACGACGACTAATTAGGCAATCAATACCGGTGGAGAGGGATAGGAGAGATAAATTTCAGTAGGGTCACCGTATAGGGCAACTCTCTTATATTGGGCCGGGTTAATGTCGAATATATTATACTGCCGGTAGCGATTGAGGGATATGATAGAGTTTGGATAGGGCCACCGTATAAGGCAACTCTCTTAAATTGGGCGGAGTTGATTCCGAAGATACTAGACAACCGTTAGCGGTGGAGGAATAGGAAAGAGAAATTTGGGTGGGCCCAACTCTCTCATATAAGGATTGGACCCGCGTGGGATCGAGTGAAACCAAAATATAAGAGGTCTTGATCTTTTGTGAGGTTGGTCGGACAAACTACGCATTCAGGCAACGTGACCAAAGGTTTTTCTCGAGGGGCATATAGCAACTTTCTTTTGCTCATCAACTTGAAGTGAGTTTGTAATTAATCCCAACGAAGTTCTGAGTTTTTCTTTCAAAGATGAACACAAGGTGTTTTGATGAAATACCTCAAAGTGGTTTTTCATATGTAAAAAGAGAACACAAGGACAATAAGCAATCGGTCATAATGACAAATTCCTAACTCCCTTGCCTGTAATCCTCGACTAAAATATTCCCCCTACATGATTCTTTTTGTTTTTTCTGGTAAATTTCTCCTCTAAATTGTGTATACAGTTAGATGGAAGTTACAAAATTGTACGGCCTAAATGGAAGCTGATGTAAGATTGCGAACTCTACCTGTGGCCAAGTTGTTGTGAAAGTGTAACAGAGCCTAAAGCCCCAACAGCCGGTGCCCTATCCATTTTAGAAGCAAAACTTTCATGAATCCACCCGTCATATTTCTGTCTTATTTATCACATGATATGTATTTATGCGTTTTTAGAGGGATAACACCTTGGTTTTTCTGGGTGATGAGATAAACAAATGTAAAAAAAGCATTTGGAATATCTTTGTATACCTCATGAAACAGGCAGTGTGTGTGGTGTGGGACAGTGGGACAGAGGGAGACAGGTGTGAGTTTCCATTTGTGACTGCTTGGGAATAATCGACAGGTATGAGTTTCCGTTTCCGTTTATGACATGCAACCTAACAAGGGTGTCCTTGTGCCTCCATCGTCCCAATGAGCCTCCCTGCCTTTTTTTTTTTTTTTTTTTCTTTTCTTTATTTAATAATTAAGGGATTTAATATTATTTGGAATTTAGGAATGATCGACTTCACTCACACTTTGATGTGAGAATGCGATGAGTCAAAATTGGACGGTCTCCCGAAATCAGTTTCTGTAAATGCATCTCTTTAGCTGCACCTCAAACTCACAATAAAATCTGCCACTGCCGCACTCAATATTGTATGAACCGACGCAGCACTGTGTTAGCTAATTGGTGCATGGCTTATTTGGAACATAATATGCGATTAACATGTAACTAGGGTAGTAGGTGGGCATCTTAAACCGAAATACCGAAACCGTACCCTAACCGCACCGTACTATACCGATTTCATACCGTTTTATTCGGTACCGATAAATATTCGGTACCGTACCGTACCGTACCAATCGAGTATGGTATGGTAGCGGTATCAA